AATACGGAAAACAAATACTAATAATAAAAATAAATAAAAATACAAAGAGAATTAAATTTAGTGAGTGCGCGAGCATGTTTTCGACACCGCCATCTTTGGCGATTTTTAATTTTTTCTTGGCATAGCTAAATGCCCTGAAAATTTACAGATGTGTACTTCACATAATACAAAACCCACTAAAAAAGTTTCAAAAAAATAATAAAATTGTTTAGACCCTGAACTAAAGTGAAAATAAAAAGTAAAAAGTGAAAAAATACGTGGGCGAGCACGTTTTGACACCGCCATCTTTGGCGATTTTTAATTCTTATTTAGCTTAGCCAAACGACTTGAAACTTTACAGACATATACCTAACGTCATAGAGAACTCACAAACAAACATTCGGAAAAAAATAATTATTTTTAGGCCCCGAAATAATTATTGGCGGGGGCCGAATGCCATCGGCTTCGGACCCCGTACGGGACCCCGAACGACCGTACGTACGGAGGTCTGCCCAGGAACCTCCGTACGTGTGGGCTGGTGACGCTGTATGTGACAATATCTATATATATATATGATATATATATATAAAAATATGTATATGTATATACATGGTTACCAGGCCGAACGTTCGGGGGCCCCAGGGCTGACCCCCGAACGCTTGGGCGTTCGGGGTCCCGTCCGGGGTCCAAACCTGAAGGGGTTCGACCCTCACCAAAAAACTTTCGGGGCGTAAACATTATTGTTTTTTGTTGAATGTTTTTTTGTGAGTTTTGTATGACATGCACTACATGCATACAAATTTTCAAGGCATTTTGCCAAGCCAAAGAAAAATGAAAAATCGCCAAAGATGGCGGTGTCAAAACGTGCTCGGCCACTCAATTTTTTTTTTTTTTTCACTTTTCCTTTTTTTCATTTTATTTTTGCGCCTCAAATATTTTATTATTTTTTGTTTTTTTTTCATGAGCTTAATATTATGTGAAATACACATCTGTAAATTTTCATGGCATTTGGCTATCCCAAGAAAAAATGGAAAATCGCCAAAGATGGTGGTGTCAAAAACGTGCTCGCCCAGTCACAAAATTTAATTCTCTTTTCATTATTTTTAATATTTTTTTATTTTTATTATTATTATGTTTTCGTATTTTATTTTTATTTCCAATTTGGTAAGGAATTCGGATTTAACGCTGCTGCAAATGCTGTTCGTATCATTTTCCTGCATAACATATATTGTTTTGAGCGTTCGACCCGAACGGCCAAACGCATCCCCAAAGGGGGCCGAACGTTCGGCAGGTTCAGGTTCGGGAGTTCGACCGAACCCGAACCCATCAGCCTGTGACGATATATATATATATATACTCCTGATGAGTCGGTGAAACTCCGACGAAACAGTTTGTCACAGCCCCCCGTTGGTTGTCCTCTTCTCTCTCTCTGCCTACGGTTTACCGGGCAGTTCTGTTTGTGACGATATATATATATATATATATATATATATATATATA